TTGCCACATAGAATAAAATTTAATAAAAGCTGGTTGTTTGAGAGACAGTCTCGTTGTTGGAAATGCAATTCACGAGTAGGTACATTGACTTAGATAGGTTTTTTTTTTGACATGACCTATTACTGACATATTTGGGTTTGCAGTCAACCATAATGTTAATATGGATGTGTAAACAACCAGATTATTAACTAACCATTGTACACTTAAGTCTCCTGTGCTTTTCTTAGCAAGATCCTCTATGTTTGAGGAGTGCAGATCACATCAAGAACAATAGACGTTTTAGGCACGGGGGCTAAACGATAACAATTATTCTGCAACATAAAAGATCTCCGAAGTAGAACTGTAGCTGTGGACAGTTGTATAGATTGCCAGCTTTTGAACTGATTTGGTTTTGGTTTTTTTTTTACAAAAGAGTGCAAAGTAATGAAGCCACTCAACTTTCCCTAATTCTATAAATCATAAATTATGGGAGCAATCTGCTATCTTCTTTTGCCAGATTCTTTTCTACGAATCTAATCATGGAGTCATCACAATGAAAAAAGAAAGAAAGAAAGAAAATCACTCTAGGTTATTTGTATTTTCTTTTATTATTTGCTACCTCCTACTCCTGGAACTTTGGTTAAGCACTTTGTCTTTGCTATCAACTCCCTCCAGCATTTCACATTTTGAAGCTGACACAGTTATGGATTGCTTCTGCTTCATGGCCTTGGTCCTTTGTCATAATTAGAACAGCAGCATTGACTTTGGATGTATTGGATGCTGCTGAAAATTGCTGCATTGTTTTCTGGGCGCTGAAATAATTGTTCTGTGGCTGAATGACTTAAGCGGGACTCAATGCGGCTGTCTGGTTTTTCTTATCAAATTATTAGCAGCTTTAGGGCAGGGATGGCAGGAAAAAGATCAGAATAACCAGAAAAGTATAATCTGATGATCTGTGGGATATCTCTAGGACAGGGGTCCCCGACCCCCAGTCCGTGGACCGGTACCGGGCCGTGGCATGCCAGCAACCGGGCCGCACAAGCAAGCAAAGCCCCATCCATGGGATGCAGGCAGCACACAAAACCATTGTTCCTCTCCAGTCCGTGGAAAAAGCTCTCTCCATGTAACCCAGACATGTCAAACGCAAGGCCCGGGGGCTGGATGCGGCCCGCGAAGTGGTTTCATGTGGCCCGCGAAGCCATCCTGGAAACAGTGAGGGAACGGCCCCCGCTGCCTTGGCCCTGGCCCAGGCCGGCCGGGAGCCAATGTACAATTTTGTGGTGGCCATCTATGCTGAAATGCATCCAGTCTTAGCTCCACAAGGCCGTCTGGAAACAGCGAGGAACCAGCCCCTGCCGCGTCAGCCCTGCCCCCTGGGTGCATGCTGGGGAGGTGTCACCCTTTGTGAGGAATGAAGAAATGGACCATGCCTTGGCGCTTGCCCCGGTCCCATCCCCTTCTGCCAGAGACCCTCAGATGTGTCCCACTCCTGCCCAGGCCCCCACAGGCACCCTTGACGCGAACAATGTAGAGCTGGCCACGCCCACCCTGACTACACCCACCCGGCCCCCCGAGGGCAACCACAATGCTGATGCGGCCCTCAATGAAATTGAGTTTGACACCCCTGATGTAACCAGTTCCTGATGCCCAAAAGGTTGGGGACCTCTGCTCTAGGAGATTTGCAGGACAAGTAATCCCCAACTTGCAACAGTTCATTTAACGACGATTCAAGGTTACAACGGCACTGAAAAAAGCGAACTCTCATTTCTTGCCTTAGCTCCTGCCCACCTAAGCAGTTCAAAAGCATGCAAATGTGAGTAGATGAATAGGCACCACTTCAGTGGGAAGGTGGTAACTGTGGTCTGTGTGTCTCAGTGTATAGTCATGTTGGCCACTTGACCACAGAAAGGTCTTAGGACAGTGGTGGCAAACTTATGGTGCTCTGTGGGCACACTTGCTGTTGCCCCAGCCTCCCCTCCCCCGTGACCCCCTCCTCACCAGCAGCCACCCTGGAGGAGAGTTGCCCCCGAGTGTGGCCCTCACGGAGCAGCGCAGCCAAGGACATGGCAGCCAGGCAGCGTGGACAAGTCTCTGCCCTCACGCCCCATTGCGCACAGTTGGTGCTGTGGGGTGCGGGTAGAGGGCGGGGCCGCCATAGTGCTGCTGGGCTCCCTGGACGATCTGCGGCAGGCCCTTGAGGCGGTGAGTAGCCCTGTGGGCGGGCAGGGCAGGGGACGGGATGGGGGCAGAGCGGAGGCGGGGCAGGGGGTTGAGTGGGGGCAGGGGGTTGAGTGTCTTAGGACAATGCTGGCTCAGTGGTGGGATTCAGCCAGTTTGCATCACTTCGGCAGAACCGGTAGCTAATTTTTTGTTGCCCAAGCCCAGAATGGACTTCTGGAAGCGGCATCCACACACACGGCATCCACACCGGTTGTTCACATATTTAAATCCCACCACTGCGCTGGCTCGCTTGGTTAAGAAACAGAGATAAGAATCGCCCTTTAGAGTCGGACACAGCTAGACTCTGGAAACTATTACTTTTACCTTTATGTTGTCATCACAGCTTTGTTTCTCTAGAGCAGTGTTTCTCAACCTTGACAGCTTCAGGAAGTGTGAACTTCAGCTCCCAGAATTCCCCAGTCGGCACACTGTTGGCATGGTGGCTGTGGCAGTTCTGGGAGTTGAAATTCACACATCCCGAAGTTGCCGAAGTTGAGAAACACTGCTCCAGAGATCTAATGTGAATTTAAAACTCTCTTGGAGTAGCAGAGGGTAGACATAAAATATATCAGGGTTTTGTAAGAAGAAGGTCAACGTTACCTCTCCTGAAAGACAACTGGAGCACCAATATTAATCTTCCTCTGCAGGATACGGCTATATGGAAATACTGTACATTCTTGGAGATGCAGTTTTGATCCACAAGGAATGACGAGAACTATCACCATGTGCAAACTAAGCACACATGTTGAAATATTTCTTAGAATTCTCTGTGGTACAATTGTTTCACTTGATTTTTCTGGGGGTCTTCGACAACTTGTCACGGCCAGCTCATCACAGCATTGTAAAGTGGTATTAATACTTCATAGAATCAAGATCACGTGAAGTATTAATACCACTTTACAATGCCTTGGTAAGGCCACACTTGGAACACTGCATCCAGTTTTGGTCACCACGATGTAAAAAAGATACTGAGACTCTAGAAAGAGTACAGAGAAGAGCAACAAAGATGATTAGGGGACTGGAGGCTAAAACATATAAGGAACGGTTGCTGGAATTGGGTATGTCTGGTTTAATGAAGAGAAGGACGAGGGGGGACATGATAGCCGTGTTCCCATATCTCAGGGGTTGCCCCAAAGAAGAGGGAGTCAAGCTATTCTCCAAAGCACCTGAAGGCAGGACAAGAAGCAACGGATGGAAACTAATCAAGGAGAGAAGCAACCTAGAACTAAGGAGAAACTTCCTGATAGTGAGAACAATTAACCAGTGGAACAACCTGCCTCCAGAAATGGTGAATACTCCAACACTGGAAGTTTTTAAGAAGAGACTGTCATTTGTCCGAAACGGTATAGGGTTTCCTGCCTGAGCAGGGGGTTGGACTAGATGACCTCCAAAGTCCCTTCCAACTTTATTATTATTATTATTATTATTATTATTATTATTATTATTATTATTATTATTATTATTATTATTATTATTATTATTATTATCATCATCATCATCATCGCACAGATGTTCAGACTGGATTTGGCATTTTGTCTACCTATCGAGTCCTTACTAAGGACCTGGGATAGGCAGACGTGGATGTTTGATGGTATTACAGATATTGTCGCAGGATGGAAGCAGTTGTTGTTATTATTGTTATTGTTGTTGTTGTTGTTATTATTATTATTATTATTATTATTAACTCACCAGACTTACTACAGCCAACTTGCCAAAGAAGGGACGAAATGAAATGTGAATGACAAGAATTAAAATACATTTTTAATTTTTTAATTGAATTGTTGAATTGTCCCGCAGCGAGTTGTCCCGTGGTGAGTTGTCCCACGACAAGTTGGCTGTGATGAGTTGTCCCATTCCTCCTTTCAGTGAGATAGGAGGCTGTACTCTGAAAGGGGATGGATGAAATTGGGATGCATGAATGAGCTTGGGGAAAGACAGGAGACGATGCTGTGCAGCAAACGTCAGAGAAGAGAGGCGGGAACCTCCAGTCGCTTGACGGTCAGAAAAAGAAACATCAGGAAAAACCCGCCCTAAATGGACCGAGTAGTTAAAAGTGGAGACGGGAAGTTTATGCCTTCAGCTTTGCAGGATTCTGTTAATGTAGCCTTACAGTAAAGTAGAATGAATTTACAGGTAATCCTCGACTTACAACAGTTCATTTAGTGACCATTCAAAGTTACAACGGCACTGAAAAAAGCGACTTATGACCGTTTTTCATACTTAACAACTATTGCTCCATCTCCATGGTCACATGATCAGACGTTTGGCAACCAACTCATATTTATGACGGTTGCAGTGTCCTTGGGTGGGTGTGTCATGCGATCCCCTTTTTGCAACCTTCTGACAAGCAAAGTCAATGGGAAAGCCAGATTCACTTCACAACTGTGTTACTAATTTAACAATTGCAGTGATTCACCTAACAACTGTGACAAGAAAGGTCATAAAGTGGGGCAAAGCTCACTTAACAAATGCCTCATTTAACAACAGAAATTTTGGACTCCATTGTAGTTGTAAATCAAGGACTACCTGAACTTTCCCTCTGCACCATCCTATTTAAAAGTTCAACTACAAGGTGATATGAAAAAACAATTACTGGACAGGTTGGAGAAAAGCTGGCTAGCAGATAAAGATACCTACCTACTAATGAACATTTTGTGTTACTTCTGGAAAAGGAAGTTACCTTCACAGGCAGTAGGTGTCGAATATTGTGACAGAGGAATAGATTAATGCTATTCATTCGTGTGCGCAAATTAATCGGACTTTTCTCTCTTTTCCCTGTTCTCTGTTTTGCTGAACGCAAGCGAGAAGAAGCTAATCACAGATGCCCTGAGTAGAAACCAATTTCTTAAAAGGCTGGACCCTCAGCAGATCAGAGACATGGTGGAGTGTATGTACGGAAGGACATATCAGCAAGGAAACTACATCATTAAACAAGGAGAACCTGGCAACCATATATTTGTCCTGGCAGGTTGGTAACCATTTTAATTGTCTATTGAAACACTGCTTAAGTATCATTTAAATTAAATAAACTCTGACATTATGCTTCTAAGGCTAAGTCTTAGCCTGCTAATACAAGGAAAGCTTTGTTGGGATTACGCTTGTTCCACCTAGTCTAGGTATCTTATGTACGTACTTACTTACTTACTTACTTACTTACTTACTTACTTACTTGTTTGTTTGTTTGTTTGTTTGTTTGTTTATTTTAACAGCGATTTTGTAACAATAATCTTCTATTATTTACATTTCCCCCCCTTATTCTTTTTTAGAATATTTGTCCTTGTTGCCCCGTTGTTTCTTATTTGCATTTTTCTTCCTTCATACTATACTTCATACTAAGAATAATACATATTATTATTACGATACATTATTATACACACATTTTCCACTTTTGACCTTTCCACATTTATTCTCCTCTATTATTTCTAGTCTCCAACCCGTCATGCCACTTGTTCCATATTAGATAGTACTTTATTTATTTATTTAAAAATAATAAAAGAAAAAGAAAAAAGGTACAAAACGCAAAGATGCATGTATTATTTAAAAAGCAAGAGCTTTAAAAATAAGTGAAAAATACAACAGAAAAAAATAAAAAAATAAAAAATAAAGTATACAAATTTGCAATAGTAAACAGGTACAGTTCTCAACTTAATTATCTAATGCAAAGAATATACAGAGAGAGAGAGAGAGATCATTGATATTTTTTTTAAGCCACTGCATTTTTTATAAATAATATGATCGTTTTCTCAGGATTCTCGGTTTGGGATTCAAAGTAGGGCCTCAAAAGGGATCAGTGTTGGAGCAGAATTGAGATTTTGCTCTTCTTCTTTTGCTTTCTGCCATTAACTCATGAAGTAAGTTGGGCTGGAAGAAAAATGCCTAGAATTTGGGGAGATGTCACAGCCTCTTTCTAAACATCACCTGTCTTGTGATGATGTTAAAACCCAAACGTACCCAAATACTTTGCATATACTGTATGTGAGTCATAAGGCGTCCTTAAATAACCACGACTAATCCTGTCTCTAGGTTTGATCTGACAAGCTGCACAGTTCTGAAGACATCAATAACGGAATTGAATTAGCTCTAATTAAGCGTTAAAATCGATACTAGGAAAGAAATAGGATTAAGGGCAAATCTGTCCTTTCCTCCTGCCCAAATATTCATCTCCAATTTCCATTGACTTCTTTTGCTGCCAGAACAATTGTGTTTTTTTTTCTTTAGCAAAATTGGGTATTTTGTGGACAGCATGCTGTGAGACAGACTTTTTTTATTTTTGTCATCCTGAAGGAAGCAATTACTCACAATGAAGAAAACGCGCTGCCAGGTTTAGAGGTCTCGTACACGTGACAACCCGCCTTTAGTTGAAGCAAGAAATTAAGTTTAGCCTATAGAAAGAAGAATTGTTAGCACTAATACGATCCGTTCTTCAACCGCAATAAAAATGGGGAAATGAAAACCCCCTGAGCAGAATCTGGAGAAAGAGATTATAGCCGATTTTGGCTCTCTTTCTCACAAATCGTGCTTGAAACTCATGGAGGAACTTCAGCTTTTTGATACACACACACACACACACACACACACCTATTTGCCATTTTTTATAATATTCGGCTTCATAAACTGGTAATGGTAATCTGTGCAATTTTCAAGCATAGATAGTGCTCGACAATTCGTTTAGTGACCATTCAAAAGTTACAACGGCATTGAAAAAGTGACTTATGACCATTTTTCACACTTATGACTGTTGTGGCATCCCCGTGGTCACATTTACATTTGGATGCTTGGCAACTGGTTCATATTTATGATGGACCTGACCTTCTGACAAGCAAAGTCAATGGGGAAGCCAGATCCACTTAACAACCGGGTTACTAATGTAACAAGTGCAGTGATTCACTTAACAACTGTGGCAAGAAAGTCGTAAAATGGGGCAAAATTCATTTAACAAATGTCTCACAACAGAAATCTTGGGCTCAATTGGGGTCATAAATCGAGGACTACCTGTATTTAGAGAAAGGGACTAAGAGCATGCCCACCCTATATGGCCTGATGGAAAGGCAGTTTCACAGATAACCTGGCTTTGTGCCATATAGAATAGAATTTCAGACTTTGTAGTTATGTTCTATCCCTGAACTATAAGTTCTTATTACGGTGACAAATGTTTAAGAGTCAGGGGGAAAAAAATCACACGCCAAATGTAACACAAGTCCGCTTCTTTAACACCAATAAAAAAGTTGGTTTTAAAAAAACAAAACACGCATGCCGAAACAATGGAGTAAGCTTATTTGAGCAGGCATTTGCGTAATTAAATTACTGACGATTTGAAACTGCAATTAGTTTATAATTAAATAGGCGCTTACTAAATTTATTCAGTCAAGCTTGTTAACAAAAAATCAAGTTAAAAATGGAAAACAGATTAATGTTTTGAAAGCAGTACAAAAACAATAAAAGGGAAGCGGAGTTTAATACATCATTATATCAGTTTGATTTTTACTTTTTTTTTTTTCCCTTTTCCAACAGAAGGCAGATTGGAGGTTTATCAGCATAGCAAATTTCTGTCATCAATCCCCGTATGGACAGCCTTTGGAGAACTGGCTATTTTATATAATTGTACAAGGACAGCCTCAGTAAAAGGTAAGTAGGCTTGTTCCCTGAAAATGTGGCAAAAACAAGAATACAGTCGAGGGTTCCATGGCGAGTATATTTTCCCTGACTGCTGTGATTTTGTGAGGAGATGAAATTCAAAAAAACGTGAATAAAACCTATGTATGATATTATCATTGTTCCTGCCACGTTTCCTCATTAATAATAGTAGGAAAATCCTGAATACTTTCTTATTAGAGATGGGAATGAAGAGAGATATGGAATAGAACTGATCAGTCTCTCTACAAAATCCAGTTCCCTGAAAATGGTGCAGGGCGGTCACATTTGTGCAGAAAACTTTGTAGATATATGTAAAGTTGTATTCTCAAGATGTTCCTAATAACACAACAACATTGCGTCTCCATTGTACCAAAGTACACAAATTTTCAGTTCCAATCGGTGCATTTCTAATGTCATCACAAACTTTCCTTGTACATTTATGCATAAAGACATCTAACAACTGAAGAGATGTTGCCCCATCCTCTTTTTTTGCTGATTGTTGATCCACTTTTAAGCCTTTACTATATTCCTCTTATTTCATTCAGCAATCAAACTTCAGTCTCGTATTTCAGCAAAACATACTTGTTTTGTAGAGAGCAAGAAAGATGATTAGGGGACTGGAGGCTAAAACATATAAGGAACGGTTGCTGGAATTGGGTATGTCTAGTTTAATGAAGAGAAGGACGAGGGGGGACATGATAGCAGTGTTCCCATATCTCAGGGGCTGCCCCAAAGAAGAGGGAGTCAAGATATTCTCCAAAGCGCCTGAAGGCAGGACAAGAAGCAATGGATGGAAACTAATCAAGGAGAGAAGCAACCTAGAACTAAGGAGAAATTTCCTGACAATGAGAAGAATTAATCAGTGGACCGACTTGCATCCACAAGTTGTGGGTGCTTCAACACTGGAGGCTTTTAAGAAGAAATTTCAGAGCCATTTTTCTGAAATGGTGGTGGGTCTCCTGCCTGAGCAGGGGACTGGACTAGGAGATCTCCAAGGTCTCTTCCGTCTCTGTTATTCTTTTATGTCATAACTCAAGCCTGTTTACTTACTTGGTCAATGTGCCACAAGTGTAGCCCAATTTTACTCCAACCATGCTCGTGTTTCCTATGCAAAGTAGGATCTCTAATCTGGACATCCTCATGCATTCCAACATAATGTGGCGGAATATGCAATGTACTCAGAATATTTTTTTCCCCTAGCAAATACGGAGATATAGAGGATGTCTACATTCAAAATTAGCTTCTTACACTATTTGATTTATAGATAACTTTGGGAGATATTATATAACAGTTGAATCATTATTCTGAAATGCTTTGGGCAATTACATTTATTTGTCTAAAATATTTGTAGGTCATCTTCCAATTGATAGAAGTGGTGAACAAGATAAACAAAAAAAATTATGTGTGACTAATAAGGTATGAAGCTGGTTGTAACTCTTCGGTGTTAACTCCTTGGAGAGAAAGTGTGAAGATGCTCTCAGTAGCACTGAGAACTTTAGTAAACATCATTAGTTGAGAAAATATGTTTTGAATGTATATGGGTATTAGATTGTATGCTAGAATTGTCTACTTTTCTGTTTTGTTTTCATTTTTTTCCCTAGCTGTCACCAGTGTGAAAACATGGGCATTAGACAGAGAGGTTTTCCAAAACATCATGAGAAGAACAGCTCAAGCAAGGCATGACCAATATAGAAACTTTCTGAGAAGGTAAACGTGGCACGTGCATCTTCCTTTTTTTAATATCAGCAGATAAAAATAGGATGTTCTGAGACAAGAATTTGCTGGGCAATATATTGGTCCTATTTGTAAAACCTTATTATCTCAAAAATATAAATAGATAGATAGATAGATAGATAGATAGATAGATAGATAGATAGATAGATAGATAGATAGATAGATAGATAGATAGATAGATAGATAGATAGATAGATAGATAGATAGATAGATAGAAAAATGAAGTATTTGGGTCTGTAGTTGGTGCTGCTACCTGGAAACACTCTTTCTGCTTTTAGAACAGGCATGTCAAACTTGCGACATCACGTGATGTCGCGCAGCGTATCGCAACCTTTTCCCCATTGCTGGGTGGGCACGGTTTTGGAGTGACGCATCCGGCCCGTGGGCTGGCAGTTTGACATGCCTGTTTTAGAAGATAGATGAACTAAAGCTTATTATCCAATTCTGAGATCCAGAATTATCCTTTAGTTATTATATTGGAATGAAAACATTGCAGATAAATCTGAATATTCTCTAGGAGTTGAATTCTGAATTTCTCCATTTGGGTTCTGTACTGCAAACATCCATATATTGTAATTAGTAGCTCTGTACAGAAGTTTTCTATAACATGCAACTCTATGAAGTCCTTAGTGCTCTCTGAGTTTGGTTGCTGTTCTTGCAGATGTTTGATTACCCAACTAGATAACATTTTCAGTGCTAGAAGGGAGTGGAATTTGTTCTCTGTTTACATACAGTGGCTTGTCCTACCAGTGTTGGTGGGAGTGACATTTTCTTCTTGGTAGTTTCTTGATTAGGTTGTTGTTTACTCCTTTCATTGTTTGTTTGAGTTGATAGTTCCTTGATTGGGTTATTGTTTACTGTTTGATTGTTGGCCTGGTATTAATTATGATGTTAATCCCTGCTTATCTGAGTGTTGATTGCTGGCAAGGAGGTGTTTTGGTCTTTCGGGTTTCCTTTTTAGGTTTTGATTGTCTCTTTTGAATGGTATGTAAATGTCATTTATCCCTATGTGCCCGTTGATGGCTGAAAATGCACTCCTTTCTAGCACTGAAGATGTTACCAAGTTTGGTAACAAAACATCTGCAAGAAAACAATCAAGCTTAGAGAGCACCAAGAACTCCACAGTTCATCTCGGAGCTACAAATATCCCCTGCCTTGCAGTTCCACCTTGATCATTCATTCATTTCAATGTGAAAATAGCTATTGTATTATAAACAGAAGAATAATATTGTTTACACCCAGGGTCAAACCAAAATACAAGTGTTTACACAAAGAGTTATCATCTCTTTTATTTTCATTTTCCATGTCCGCCAGTTTGTTCTGGAGATTTATTCAACCCCGTGAATTTTGATTGAAAAAGAATCAGTAGGGAGTATCTGTTCTATCAGTATTTATTTCATCAGTGGATAGAAAATGGGGGTTTTCATCGTGGTTTGAAGGTAGTTGTATAGACTGAGCAAGTACTGACGGTTGACCAGAATCTCACAGATAACTTGTCCTTTTTAATGACACCCATTTAGAAGCCAGTTCTCAAATCACAGTTCTTTGAAGAAACATGGACCTCAGATATAAAATCCTATGTAATTATCCTAGTAGTAGTAGTACTCAAACCAAACTGAAAGAATGTATTTTGGGCAAAAACGTCTGCAAGGGCTATAGATTGTAGTGATTATTCTGTACCACTGTTGAACTTCCATTTATATGCCAAACCTTACCATTAACCACATTCACGTTAACTGTTTTTTATAAGTAATGCCCATAATATGCATAATATTTTTAGGGGTATCTAATATCTCCCCAGGAAAGAGCTGAAGTCAAAATGGATCAAAGTTAAAATTGAAAAATGAAAGCTAAAACGTTGTATACAAATTGAATTCAATGGATTTCTTTGGTTGTTTTTTTTTCAAGTGTTTCTTTACTGAAGAATTTACCCGAAGATAAACTAACCAAGATTATAGACTGCTTGGAAGTGGTAAGTCTTGGACCCCTACTAATGAGATTATTTAATCTTATTTATCTCTTTAGCAAAATCACTCTAGGGCAGACATGTCAAACACAAGGCCCGGGGGCCGGATGCGGCCCGCGAAGTGGTTTCATGTGGCCCGCGAAGCCATCCTGGAAACAGTGAAGGAATGGCCCCCATTGCCTTGGCTGGCCCTGGCCCAGGCTGGCCGGGAGCCAATGTAAAATTTTGTGGTGGCCATTTATGCTGAAACGCATTCAGCTCCACAAGGCTATCTAGAAACAGCGAGGAACCAGCCCCTGCTGTGTCGGCCCCACCCCCTGGGTCCATGCTGGGGAGGTGTCACCCTTTGTGAGGAATGAAGAAATGGACCATGCCTTGGCGCTTGCCCCGGTCCCACCTCCTTCTGCCAGAGACCCTCAGATCTGTCCCACTCCTGCCCAGGCCCCCACAGGCACTCTTGACACGAACGATGTAGAGCTGGCCACGCCCATCCAGTAGGCCACACCCACTCCATCCACACCCACTCAGTAGGCTGCACCCACCCTGGCCGCACACCCCCGCCCCCCCCAAGGGCAACCGCAATGCTGATGCGGCCCTCAATGAAATTGAGTTTGACACCCCTGCTCTAGGGTAAAGTCAAACAGAGTTATATATTACAGTGTGCTCTGATTAAGCTCCAAATTCTATGTTATTTGATCTGGGCTAAATAAGATTATTCAGTGGCATTTTTAATGTGCAGAATCTGAAAGTCCCATTGTGCAGGAAAATACTGACCTTTCTTTTCTGAAACCCACACAGAAATTCCCAGGAATACTTTCTAAACTGCATGGCTTCCTATAAATTTGCTTTAGCAACATGTAGGTTTTGGTGGATAGCATGTTTGATCACAGTGCTTTACATAAAATAGCCAGATCATAACTGCCTAAAAGGCTGAAATTTATGGGAAATAATGTCCCATTGCAAAAGCTTGAGATGAAATTCTGTCTGTGCAAAAGTCCCCAAATATGTCAAAACAGTCAAATTGAGGGGAAGAGAGGGGAGTGGGGGAGGGGAGGAGAAGAAAGAGGAGAGGAGAGGAAAGGAAAGGAAATAAATGGATAGGGAAGGAAAAGATTTAGATGCTATCAGAAATCTATAAATTTAATCCTTCCATAGGGGAAGGGAAGGAACACTGGCTAAGATTTGAAATCTGGAGATCTATATTTAAGAGCACTTAAAATAGTTGATGGAATTATAACACTGACCTGTAAAAATGTGACATGCTGTGATACTTACCTCATATATCACCAAATATCTGTGTTAATGACCCATAGAAGCAATCATGGCTAGCTTTCAAAAAAAAAATAAATAGCAAAATATTCTGTCTGCCGTCTTTCGTTACACTTTTGGAATATAATGATTTGTAATTGGGGGGAAAATCCATTATTAATATATCTGGTTTTTTTTCTCTTTTCTTATGTTTAGGCTTTATTCAGTGTAAATGAACAGTTTTATATTTGAAGGGCTAATTGAAATGACTCTGCGCAAATTGATTTATTGTGCACATATTCTTACGTAATCATTTTGCATGCTCCAGTAGAACAAAGGGTTAAAAAAAAAAGGAAATTAATTGTAGACAGGAATGCTGCAGTGTCATCCGGTGATGATGAAAAGTACAGTCCAAGATATATTAATTTTGGATGCCGTTTGGGCTCAGCTTTTGTCTGTAAATTCTTCCCTCCCTCCCTCCTTCCCTTCCTTCCTTCCCAAAGCTGGTGTGTTGCCTGCGTGACCTGAATTTTTTCAGAGCAAGTCTTTGGCAACACATTTCTTCCATTTGGCAGGGAAACCTAAAGAGACCCACTGCCTGTTTTTGATGTTACGCAACTGCAACAATAGAATATTTTCGCTGAAATCATTGTCTAGCACAAATTGTTTGCAGAGCCGGCCTGACTGCTTAAGCCACAGCCCGAGTCATTTGTTTCAGGCATCCTATTTTATGTGCCTGAAAGCAGATTTGGCTGTCTTTAGCTCAATACAGATAGTCCTTCACTTACAACCATTTCTTTAGTGCCGTTTGAAGTTATTGCAGCACTGAAAAAAGTGACTTATGATCATTTTTCACACTTATGACAGTTGCAGCATCCCCACGGTCACGTGATCAAAATTCAGATGCTTGGCAACCGACTCATATTTATGACGGTCGCAGCGTCCCGGGGTCGTGTGATCCCCTTTTGCGACCTTCTGACAAACAAAGTCAATGGGGAAGCCAGATTCACTTATCAACCATCTTACTAACTTAACAACTGCAGTGATTCACTTAACAACTGTGGCAAGTAAGGTTGTAAAATGGGGCAAAACTCACTTAGCAACCTTTTTGCTTAGCAACAGAAATTTTGGACTCAATTGTGGTGGTAAGTCAAGTACTACCTGTATTGTCCACTCTGAGCCATAGCCATTTGCTAAGTTTTCGGATATGAATCCCAGCTGTGTGTTAGAAAAAGGTTCTTTCTCCTAAAATTAAAAGACAAAAGGTTGTCCAACGTTGTGATAATGTTGCAAAACTGTAGAGCTAAGGGCAGCTGCAAAATTGAGGCTAAGGGTCCATTTGCAGACAGTAGAATTTCCAGGTGTGATTTTAGGTGCATTAATGCAGGACTGGGGGGCTTTAAATGCCCTGTATAAGATCATAAATAAATCCCACACAGACAAGCATGTGTCCAAATTGATAGTCCCATTTTTCTTCCTTGGAAATATTTTAAAGCAACTAAAAATCAATAAACCAAAACATTAGCATCTGGTAGGTCCTTCCTGCTGGTTCCATCTCTTTAAAGAAAAGAAAATATTGTTTGGATTCTTAAGTAATTTGGTTCAATAGTATCCATGGGAAGTGTCAAAGAAAATCAAGATGGCGGTCACCGCAATGCAGGTGGAACTCTGCCCCTTTGTATATATGTGCATTATCAATGCAAATCCAAAAAATGGTGGATATTCTATTGAACTGCTGGTACCTCCATACTGACTTTTTTGACCCAGTTATTTGGGTTGCACATCTACTGAGATGTTCCATGTCCTCAAGTAATCCAACATGTTTATTGTCTGTGTGTAGGACGAATGGGGATGAATAGTTTGACAGCATAAAAATTGCATTGTGAGACAATGGAATACATGTTGTTATGAAACTGCAGTTTCCGTTAAGGATTTAGTAGGAATTTTCTAGCTTTTTCCTCCACCCATTTCTTTTTTTCATTCCTGTCTTTACTTAAGGAGAACATCATTTCCATAAGAATGCGGTAACATTCCTGTAGCCCACAACATTCTTCAGAAGTAATCCACTATTTCTATTTGTGAGGAATTTCTTCTCTATAATAGATTAATTAGATCACAAGATGAATGATAAGAGAAGTTAAATATATGGCATTTCTCCAGCTATAAAGGAAGGCCAGGATGAGAAAGCTCTGTATATTTTAGCAACTATCTAAGAAAGTTCACTTGACCAGTTTGAGCAACTTGATCCATGATACCTCTGGAAACCTCTGTCTTCTTTTGTAAACTTAAGAACAAAATAAATTAAATTGTTTTTGCAATATATTCTTTAATTTAAACTTTATTAGACCCTCTGTTTTTCATATAATCAAATTATATGATGTGATAGCAATGTTCCAATATCTAAGGAGCTGCCACAAAGAGATCAGCCTATTCCCCAAAGCACCTGAAGGCAGGACAAGAAACAATGGATGGAAACTAATAAAGGAAGGAACTAATCTAGAATTAAGGAGACATTTCCTGACAGTTAGAACAAAGAACAATTAATCAGTGGAACGATTTGCTTCCAGAAGTTATAGGTGCTCCAACTACTGGAGGTTTTTAAGAAGAGATTGGACAACCATTTATCTGAAATGGTATAGGATTTCCTGCTTGAGCAGAGGTTGAACTAGAAGACCTCCAAGGTCCCTTCCAACTCTGTTATTCTATTACTCTGTTATTCTGTTAAATTCCTCTTTGAAAATCCAGCATACTTGTCCCAACGAACTAACTTGTACCTCTTTACTACCATTACCTAAGTCTTCTTTCTGAAGAGGTCATGTCATGCATTTATAATTCTTTAAGCAGCTGTACTGTCCTAGAACTTGAGCATGTTTGCAACCCTTGGCATTCTTAATTGTATTATATCAGTATTATTAGCATTGTATCTATAGAAATCTTTCCAAATTTGGTGCTGTCTATATGATAGTCTTAGTTATACATCTACAATTCCCACTTAGAAAGCCTCATATTTAAGGGCCAGAGACAGGAGCTACTTAGATCATATTTATAAGGCCCAATTCATAGAAACCAATTACTTTTGATTGTTCTCTCAAGTGTTCCCTGCATCCCATAGAGCAGGGGTGTCAAACTGCCAGCCACGGGCCAGTTTCATCATACCGGAGCCGCGCCCACCCCATTGCCAGCAATGGCGAAAAAGCTCCGATATGTCGTGCGACATCATGTGACGTCGCGAGTTTGACATGCCTGCCATAGAGTCAAGGAATCACTTCCAGTTCACCTTCATGGCTTCTGGGTTTCGTGTCATTTAAAAATAATGTATATATGTATGTATGTATATATTATGTATGTATGTCTGAAGCCTGAATAATCAATACCTTTAGGTTTATTGGCCCATATTAATGATCCATTGATTTCAGTGGGTTTACACTGACTAAATCTGAACAGTTGATCAAAGGAAGCAAAAGACTGTGGGATTACTTTGTGCAATTAGTCATGCCACATTCTTTAATAGATTTATTTGGATTATCAATTAGCTTTAAATCCCTTTCAGTCATTTAAAAAAACATTCATGTTTAATTGATCAATGTGTTTATAACTTATGCAGAAGAAGACATACTTGCCACAGGCAAAATGCAGGCAGTGGAGCCAATTTTGGGGGGGCTTTTGTTCCTTCTTCCCAAAAGCTGCTGTAGCTTTTTTGAATGTGGCTTTTTAGAATTTTATAGAATTTGCATTGTTTTTCTGGCATAGAAAGATTCTGTTCTCCCCATATAGAAAGCCTGCAAATACAACGATTGTTATGTAATATTAATATCACCCTTGCTTGAAGGACAAAACCTCAGTGCACTTTAAGCAAATTGATTAATACAGTGATGGCAAACCTTTTAGAGACCGAGTGCCCAAACTGCAACCCAAAACCCACTTATGCATCGTTGGGTGCCGGTGGGTGTGGCCCATTGGGTGGGTGTGGCCCATTGGGTGGGCGTGGCTGCAGTGGTAATGGCAGACTGGGTGGGACTAAAAAGTTCAATCAATCAATTCCAACTTTGCAAGATCTTTTTTTCCCCCGCAAGAAGTTGAATTTGACTGATTGATTGAACCTTTTTTTTTACACGGCGGCGGAGGCCTAAAGTGAAAAGGTTTTATAAAGCCCAGTTGAAGGCCTAGGACTGGGGCGATGGTGCGCGTGCCCACAGAGAGGGCTCTGAGTGCCGCCTCTGGCACCCGTGCCATAGGTTCGCCACTACTGGATTAATATAATATTCATATTTAAGTCTTGACTGTACGTTTGGTAGGAAGTTAAATAATTTTCTCTAGAAGATGCCAGTGGTCTTTAGTTAGTGTCTTGGGAAGATCTAAATACTGGTAGTCCTTGACTTAACAACCACAATTGAGCCCCAAATTTCTGTTGCTAAGTGAGATATTTAGTAAGCGCCCCATTTTATGACCTTTCTTCCACAGTTGTTAATCCCTGCAGGTGTTAAGTCAGTAACATGAATCTGACTTCCTCATTGACTTTGCTTGTCAGAAGGTCACAAAATGTGATCACATAACCCCAGGAGACTGCAACCGTCATAAATATGAGTCAATTGCCAAGCGGCTGAATTTTGATCACATGACTGTAGGGACGCTGCAATGGTCAGAAGTGTGAAAAATGGTCATCAGTCACTTTTTTCAGTGCTGTTGTAACGTCAAACGATCACTAAATAAACTGTTGTAAGTCAAGGACTTATAACTTATCATTGCCTGCCTTTCTTTGTTCCACAGGAATACTATGACAAAGGTGATTATGTTATCCGGGAAGGAGAGGAAGGAAGTACTTTTTTCGTTATATCCAGGGGAAAGGTAAGCTACCTTGCAAATATATTGTCAGGGAATTGCCCAACAGGTGTCCAAATGAAGTCAGAGATGCTGACACAAACTTGTAGTATTATGTAAATAAATATATTTTACATCTATATATAGCAAACAAGATAGTCAGGCAAACAGGAGCATCGTGAGGTAAATCACAGAGCACACAGAAGAAAAAGGCGGGAGAAAAAGAAAACTCCCTCTCCACACCCACAGCAACCAATCACAGTGCAGATTGCCTCACGCAGGAGCCAGCAGTCAACCAATCAAACATAATTGCGTGTTCTCCCTCACTGCACAAAACCCCCACTGCTCTAGCTACTAAATTTAGATATCTTAACATACCGTAGATGTGCAACTCTTACTTGGCCAATGAACCTTATGGGAAGCTGCATTTTCACCCATTTGTTTCCTGAGAGATAAAGGGCATTCCATTAAGCCTAGGAGCGTCTCCCAATAGGGTGTTGATCCACCTCTTCAAGGCGAAGTGCTATCCAAAAGCGACAGGGCATAATGAGATGTGAGATCATTAGGAATTCACTGGCTAGTGAATATCTGGGTCTCGTAAGCTGCCAGACAACATTTGAATTAGTTGCCCGGTCATATGCATGCCTTTCCACAGTTATTCTTGTTTTAGCTGTTTGTCCTCCGCCTTTTTATCACTAGCTAAAATCTGCACACGTTTCAGGAGTGGTAATGATGATATTAAAGTAAGTAGCAGCAATCCTGAATAAAGGAATATCTCAGTAGCACTCAAGAACATTTAGGAAATGCACTACCTGGCCTGGAGCAAGGAAGGAAACTCTAGGAAGGAATTCAGTGACCTAGAGTTGGCCTTGGTTTTTCAGTTTGGAGCAACTAATGTGGGCAAAAAGACTTAAACTGTTTTTTTTTTCTGACGTCCCTTTTCTGGAATGTGACATTAGCCATTTTAAATCCACCAACTGTATCTTTTGAATTCAAGCTAAAACAAAAATTTATCCCTTCCCTTCCCTTCCCTCCCTCCCTTCCTCCCTCCATCTCCCTCCCTCTCCCTCTTTGTCTCTCTCTCTCTCTCTCTGTCTCTTTGTCTTTCTCAGATTCTTGAGATATTATATAAAGTTACACAATAGCGTAAAACAGTGTAAAAAACAAGCACCAAAAGCACTATAATATAATGCAGAAGGAGGTAAAAAGCTAATGATGAATGTTTGATACAAAGTCAACCTGATAAAATATTGTAAGAAAACTAGCTAATTAAATTAATCAATAAAATGAAAGATAACAACAAACACAGTAGAGACATTAAAGCATATGAATATTTTTCCTATTAAAAAAGCAATAAAGCAATTAATAAAAGGAGATAATTAATAAACATAATAATATATAACATTATTAGATTATATTTGACTAGGGTATTTTATACACCTGAGGATCCTTTTCCTGATCATATTTACTAATAAAGATCAACATTCTTTTCTAAATTGATGCATATCATAAAAATTTTTTGGTTATGCATATCCTTTAACACATCTTATTGCATGTGTTGATTTTTCCATAGAAACAGTGCTTTTTTTGTCATAGAACATACTGGAACAGAGTTCCGGCATCTTTTTTGATGGATTTTCCAAATTTTAAAAGTAACTTTTGAAAATTTGACGTTTGGTGCACGTGGACTTGAATCGCTCTGTTGAGTGTAGCAGGTTGGCGGCAAAATCATTAAAATGGTGCATGTGGGCTGCTTGTGTGTCGAGTCCAATGCATGCATACTTCGTCCACGCTGATTGTGATGGCGCTGCTCGGCTTGTGGCACTGCTCGGCTTGTGATTGGTCATGTGGTTGCGCGCTGAGTGCTTATTGCAGGCGGCGACCATTCTGTGTTTCGTTACACAACTGACATGTGTGGGTGTGTGTACAGTGATTAATTACGTGCGAAAGGTAAATAATTTCTTTATTTTAAAAAATTGTTGGTGAATTGAAAATCTTTTTAAAATTTTTAGTGTAAAAGTGTGAACCCAAATTTAAAAATGAAAGAAAATTACTAATTAGTTCTCAACCACCGGTCCTGCTAAGAACTGAATATATAATTTTTTTAAATAAAAGATTAACACGATGCGAGTTCTGGCACCTGTTTTCTTACAAAAAAAAGCACTGCATAGAAATATAATATAACCATATGTCAGGTGAAGGGGGAGTATTTGATTTCTAGCACTGGGCTATTGTCAATCTGGTTACTACTAACATGGTAATTAACAGTGATTATACAACACTTCAATTCTGACCTCCGGAGGACCTTAACACAATCATTTATATCTCACAAAAGCATTACAGTAGAGAAAATAATAACTGTATATTTGCAGTAGTATGCACATATATTGGGTCATAATATGGGGGAAGGAGCATATAACTTCTGATTCTTATTGAGGTGCAATTCTCAGCAATCTATTCTCACTTGGCAGTGAGTTATAGTTAAACAATGGGCTGCAAGTCACTTTCCTGGCTTAGAAAAATAGTAATGCATCAGGTTTATTCTTAAAAGGGAAGGCAGTTCTGTGTTGCTTCATGGAGCATCTTCAAAGGGATGCTTCACTCAAAGCATCATCAAAGTGAAGAACTCTTCACATTTTGCACAGCCCTACTAACATTAAGCATCAAGTAGAATGTTAAAGAAGGGAGATTCAATGATGGAGAACCAACCGTGGAAAAGACCTTTTTCCTTTTCATCACCCTTGTTTGAAGATGAGAAGGCTTGCACAAGAGCTTTTCATGGGGATCTTAACTCATGGATCTTTTGAATATCCCCAAAATATAAAACTAGAAGAAAATTGGACAGTTATCAAGTTCCACTAGATTGAATTTTAAGTGATATCCCAATAAAAGTAAGGGTAGAAGATGATTCTTTTTTTTCTTTCTTTCTTTTTTGGATGAGGGCTGTATTTTCTTTCTTTTTTTAAACAAATTTTATTGGTTTTTTATTTCTTAGAACAAAGTGCTCGAGACACACCATGGTGCTGGGGCAATCAAACATCCAACAATAAAGCCATATATGAATAACTCAAATCAATGCATTAAATATTCCCTCTCTATTTCCCTCAAATAGCATAATATATTTAAAATAATCCATTTCTAAATTAAATTTCTATAAATTCTAAACCTGTTTTTAAGCTTTATAAATTTACAGTTACCATAGTCAAATTTAACCTTAAATAAACACATTATCACTTCAGCTATCCTTCCCAGATATATTCTAGTTCTGATCTCTTAAATCATTAATTTTATCACAAATCTTGTTTATTTCTTTTTCCACTACACACTATGTATCTTGATTAAAATAAAATATTAGTCTACCCTATACATATATAATCCATCAATCAATCAATCTCTTTAACCTAGCAAAGTAATATCAAACCTTAAAAGGGCTGTATTTTCTTGAGAGTCATATAGTCTCTGAGATTATAACCAAAGAGAGTAGGATCTCTATTCTCTGTCTTTCCCTAATACCTTCTTTTTCCTCTTTTGGTCACCCGTTCCCCACTGCACCCCAAAACAGAAACTACAAGGAAAGGACACATGGTTCTTTATAGAATATTGGAATACTGCATCCAGTTTTGGTCACCGCAAAAAGATAAAAAGATGTTGAGACTCTAGAAAGAGAGAGTGCAGAGAAGAGCAACAAAGATGATTAGGGGACTGGAGGCTAAAAGATATGCAGAACGGCTGCAGGAATTGGGGATGTCTAGTTTAATGAAAAGAAGGACTGTGGGTGACATGATAGCAGTGTTCCAATATCTCAGGGGCTGCCACATAGAAGAGGGAATCAAGCTATTTTCCAAAGCGCCTGAAGTCAGAACAAGAAGCAACGGGTGGAAACTAATCAAGGAGAGAACCAACCTAGAAATAAGGAGAAACTTCCTGACAGTGAGAATCAATTGATCAGTGGAACGATTTGCATTCAGAAGTTGTGGGTGCTCCATCACTGCAGGTGTTTAAGAAGAGATTGTACAATCATTTGTCTGAAATGACATAGGGTTTCCTGCTTGAGCAGAGGGTTGGACTAGATAGAAGATCTCCAAGGTCCCTTCCAACTCTTATTCTGTTAAAGAGCAGTGTTTCTGAAATCACCCTACGTAAACTGATAATAGGTCCAAAACATGCTTGATAAAGTCACAGAAATGTAGGGTAGCCCCACAGAAAATGACAGGTGTTCTGCAAAGTCTGGAAGGAAAATCATTGGTGCACATATGAAAGATGTAATTATTTAAGATATTTATTTAGGCAAACATGTGCTAGATAGCTGAAAGCAAATGTGATTTAATACAAATCATGAAGCATCTAAGACTGTAGAAATATGATGGAGGAGGGTAGGTTTGCCCTTTAAAATAATGGTCAAAATTCAATTGGATATTCTCTGACTTTAAAAAATGACTAAAATAGTCTTTGGATCTCAGCCAAAGCCTTCAAAAGCAGCACTTGAAAATCCCCCAGAAAGAAATCATTCCTCTTTCTTATGCAAGGGGGTGGTGGAAAGGGGAGAGAGACTTAGTGAAAAAAACATTTATGCATTAACTATTGGAGAACAAACACATCATGCATGAAAAGAGACAGATGGTGTGTAACCAAGTTGGCAAGCTCTAGATATAAACACTTATGCTGGCCGCTTGCAAGGATCAGTTCTTCTTGGTTTCTGCTAAACAATATTTGCAGAATCTGGAAACCAAGAAGATAAGATGGATATTTGCTACTATATCTGGGCTGCCAAAATCCAGAGTAGATGACAAGAAAAAATTGGCATTGAAAAGTCTCTTTGCTGCCATCTAGTGATTATCTGGGTTGCTGCAAGCTGGATCTGCGCTAATATTTGTAAGATATTTAAACACGGGAGTGAGAGTTGGAATCAGATTTGTTTAAAGCTAGAAATGTGCAACAGTTGCTACTATTATTATAAGTATTAACATAAACATTATTGCTGTGGTAGGACTCACTCCATAAAGCAAAATAAATAAGTCCGTAAACCAGAATATCATTTACATGCTATTTTAATGAAAAATAGTATGATAACTCCTTAACATAGTTAATATATTTCTCCTACGATCATATTTAGAAGTACCATTTGGAGACAAATGGGATTTTGGAGTTCATTTGTTATAGAGTCATAGAACTGAAGAATTAAAAGAAACCTTAAGGATCTAGTCCAGGGGTATGCAACCCTGGCTCTTTTATGACTCATGGACTTCAATTCCCAGAATTCCTGAGCCAGCTATGCTGGCTCAGGAATTCTGGGAGTTGAAGTCCATGAGTCATAAAAGAGCCAAGGTTGCCTACCCCTGATCTAGTCTAACCACCTGTGATGTTCAGGAAAGCCAATTAACAATCTATGCGAAGTGGCTGTTTTCCTTCTTAAACAGCTCCAAGGATAGAGAACCCATAACATATATAACAGACCATTTCATTTCATTGTTGTACAAATAGAATGAAGGTTTTTCATTCTATTTCAGTGAAATCTAAGTAGCTGCAATTTATATCCTAGTCTCTGTGGTCTATTTTCTATGGTAGAACAGGGGTCTTCAAACTTGGCCATTTTATGACTTGTGGACTTCAACTCCCAGAATTCCTCAGCCAGCATGCCTGGCTGAGGAATTGTGGGAGTTGAAGTCCACAAGTCATAAAAGGGCCAAGTTTGAAGACCCCTGTTGTAGAATGTAACTCTACATCTTCTCTGTAGCTCCTCTTTTATGGCTCTCTTCAGTCTTCTTTCTCCAGACTGAACATCTCGACTTCCTTCAACCAGCCCTCATGTCTCTACTTCCAACCCCAACAGTAACCTCTGCTGAATCTAATCAAAGCTCTATCAAGTTTAATCTCCATCCAGGTGCCTCCAGGAATTTCTTAAGAGAGGGAAGCGAAGGCAACTGCTTTTGTCTATTTATTCTATAACCAACATACATTGTCCCTGATCACGGTGGGTCCATGTAGTTATCCTAGCTAAGAATATAAGAAGAATCCAGCTGGAAAAAAAGCAAAAGCCCATCTGATTCAATATCTGGCTTTCCAGAATGACCAAACATATACCCTGTTTCTCTGAAAATAAGACCTAACCGGAAAATAAACCCTACCATGATTTTTCAGGATGCTTGTAATATAAGCCCTACCGCAAAACATAAGCCCCAGTTAAGATAATCAGCCAGACGGGTGCATTTATTACCGTATTTTCCTGAAAATAAGACCTAACAGGAAAATAAGCCCTAATGAGTCTTCTGGAGCAAAAATTAATATAAGACCCAGTCTTATTTTTGGAGAAACATGGGTAGAAATATTGCCAGAAAGAATGGATAACTTCCCATCAATTGTCCCAAAGGTGCTTTTTTCAAGAGGCAACTGGACTTTCTTGTTTTTTTTTTTGAAGACGTTTCGCTTCTCATCCAAGAAGCTTCTTCAAGTCTGACTTGGATGAGAAGTTAAACATCTTTTTCAAGAGGCAACTACACTTTCTTGTTTTTCTTTGTTTTCAAAAAAAACCAAGAAAGTGCAGTTGCCTCTTGAAAAAGCAACTTTGGGACAACCATGATCTGGATGACTGAGAATCTTCATAGACCTTCCCATCTATTGCACTCAGAGGGACCCTACCTCTAATCCTAGAGCCAAGGTATCCAGGATTATAGTACTAGCCATCAATAGCCTTGTCCATCATTAATTTAACTCTTCATTTTATTTAAAACTATGCAGAGAAGGGACCTTTATCCACATCTCATAGCTTGATAGAGGACTTGGTTTTCCTTCTCATGGATGAATGCAAGTTCAAAGGGAAAAAAATTACTGCCTTTCCACTTTTTTCTTACCATTTATACTACAAAGGGGAATCTTTTTTAATGATAGGATGTAGTGTGTATTGAAGTCTCTGCCTGAAATAGTAAAATCCACCTCATTTTTACAGTTAAAAGAAATTAGGGAAGATATTTTTATGTCTTTATATTTTTCTTTATCTGATCAACTGGGCAGATAAATACAGTATTTGGCTGGCTTTATATATGTCTCTCGGTCTCTGGACTGTAAACAGAAAACGCTTCGTGACACCTCTTGATAACATTGGGATGACTTTAGAAGGAGAGCAATGTGAAAGTGCCAAATATAATTATGAAACAAAACAGCTTAGGACGGCCTGTTTCGCTGGTTCAATCCAGAGAGCCACAAGGACAAAATCTCTTTGCAAAAACCTGGCCATCACGAAGGTTTTCTATAATCAGAACTGATATTAACTCAATAATCTGTGAGCTTCAGAGAGCAATTGATTCAATTCAAATTATACTAGCTTGGAACCCATGCCACATCCAATTATTATCCCTTGTTCTTTGTTTGATATTAGCTCTGGCACGCTCTGACTCTAGTGCCAAAAGAGTTCCAGAAAGTCTCAACAAAGAGAATTGTTCGCTGTCTATCACTAAAAAGAGACAATCACAAGGGATTACATTCAGCTGTGGCCAATATTTACACGTCTGTGATTCAGATCCTTGTCTCTGCTTTTCAAAGTCCAGCCTTGAGCTATAAAATCCCATTGGAACTCACCATGATAAAAAATACTCAATTTTCTGGCTATATCCCTTAATTTTTTTAATTTTTATTTATTTATTTATATCTCATATTTATTATTTTTTACAAACAACTCAAGGTGGCAAACATATCCCACCTTTGGCCTACTATTTTCCCCACAACAACAACAACAATCGTGTGAGGTGGGTTGGGCTGAAAGAGAATGACAGGCCCAAATGGCTAAGGTAGGACTTGAACTCGTGGTCTCTTGCTTTCTAAGCTGGTGCCTTCACTACCAAGACTAAACTGGCTCTCTAGATGGATCGTTAATGGATCGTTTTGATGAAGGTCATTTATCTTAATGGATCGTTATGGTGAACGTTAAGGATGAAGTACTCTATTAAGTACATTGTATTTATTTTTGACAAGTAATTAGTGGGTCTTCATTTCCTAGGTTAAGGTTACCCAGACCCCAGAAGGGCAGACCCAGCCTCAGTTGATTAAAACGTTGCAGAAAGGAGATTCTTTTGGAGAAAAGGCCTTGATCAGGTTTGTTTAAAATTATTTCCCATAACACTTTCATTGTTATTTAAAAATTTGAGTTCAAAATGGAACAGGGCCTAAGAAGACAAGGTAAGGACATAATTTTATTTTTAAGAAATTAACTCAGGGGGGTCCAACCTTGGCAACTTTAAGACCTGTGGACTTCAACTCCCAGAATTCCAGGAGTTGAAGTCCACAAGTCTTAAAGTTGCCAAGGTGTAATATCCCTGAATTAACTGGTACTATAATTCATAGATGACTGAAAGAGTGAGCATCCATGCTACCATTTTTCCCCCCATGGTCTCTTCCATCCAAATTGTCTATCTTGGTTACTGTACGCTGATTTCTTTTGCATCTGGTAGTTGCAGTTGATGGATTTTTCGAAGGAGCTGCTCTGATGCATGGGGCACAAGCCAATTCTGGAACTATTCATGAAACCATAGTCCACAGTGTGCATTCGTGCAGCAGTGAAATGAATTTATGAGATTTTTGTTGACTTATTTGTTAGTTACTTGATTTTTATCCTGCCTTTATTCATTTAGTATATAAGCAACTCAAGATGGCAAACATACATAATATTCCTTCCTTCTGTTTTCCCCACCACAACCCTGTGAGATGAGTTGGCTAAGAGGTAGTGACTGCCCCATATTCATCCAGGTGGCTTCCATGCCTAAGATGGGACTAGAATTCACTGTCTCCTGGTGAAAGGCACAGAGTCATTCAGCTGGCTTTCGTATCTAAGACGGGACTAGAATTCATGGTGATTGCCTCAAAGTCACCCAGCTGACTTTCATGCCTAAGGCAGGACTAGAACTCACCCTCTCCCGGTGATTGCCTCAAAGTCACCCAGTTGACTTTGATGCTTAAGGCAGGACTAGAACTCACCCTCTCCTGGTGATTGGCCCAAAGTCACTCAGCTGGCTTTCATATCTAAGACAAGACTAGAATTCATGGTGATTGCCTCAAAGTCACCCAGCTGATTTTCATGCCTAAGGCAGGACTAGAACTCACCCTCTCCTGGTGATTGGCACAGGGTCATTCAGCTGGCTTGCATATCTAAGGCAGGACTAGAACTCACCATCTCCTGGTGATTGGCCCAAAGTCACTGAACTGGCTTTCATATCTAAGGCAGGACTAGAACTCACCATCTCCTGGTGATTGACACAAGGCCATTCAGCTGGCTTTCATGCCTAAGGTGGAACTAGATCTCACAGTCTCCTAGCGATTGGCCCAAAGTCACTCAGCTGGCTTTCATATCTAAAACAGAACTAGAATTCATAGTTTCATGGTGATTGGCCTAAAATTACTCAACTGCCTTTCATACCTAAAGCAGAACTAGAACTTACCGTCTTCTAGTTTCTAGGTCAGCCATCTAATCACTGAGTTTTTTTTTTAAAAAAATAAAAATTGAGAAACATTGCTCTACTAAACCAACAAAAAAATCTCACTAAATCCATTTCACTGCTGCACGAATGCACACAGGACAATGCTGGGTCAATATATATATTTTTTGAGCAACACCGCTTTAGAAGAAGAATCAACAATGAAGTGAAATAAAAAAAAACATCACAAGCTTGTGTTAAAATTATCCATATCAGGAACATTTAGCAGCACAGATGTAGAGAACCTGCAGAGATGATGAATTGGTTGTTAGGTATCAACAGTGCTTTGAACAGAGGAAACAGCAGGGATAGTAATAATGGGAGGATTTAAACTTTGAAGTGGCATTTGGACAAATAGATAATGCTTACTTAGGTAACAAGTTAGCTTGCATGTTTCATCCATTTTTGTTCTGTAAAATCATTGTTAAAGAGATTTTTGCAAAGATACCATAGAAAATCAAGGTTACACACAGGCATTTGGACAATCACCTGCCTGGACAATCACCTGTCTGAGAGACTGGACAATCACCTGTCTTAGACGGTATAGGTTCTCCTGCTTGAGCAGGGGGATGGACTAGAAGACCTCCAAGGTTCTGTTCTGTTCTATTCTATTCTATTCTATTCTATTCTATTCTATTCTATTCTATTCTATTCTATTCTATTTTATTCTTATTTCTATTCTATTCTATTCTATTCTATTCTATTCTTATTTCTATTCTATTCTATTCTATTCTATTCTATTCTTATTTCTATTCTATTCTATTCTTATTTCTATTCTATTCTTATTTCTATTCTATTCTTATTTCTATTCTTATTTCTATTCTTATTTCTATTCTGTTCTGTTCTGTTCTGTTCTGTTCTATTCCATTCCATTCCATTCTATTCTTATTTCTGTTCTATTCTATTCTATTCTTATTTCTATTCTATTCTATTCTTATTTCTGTACTATTCTATTCTATTCTATTCTTATTTCTATTCTATTCTATTCTAGTATCTAGTTGCTTGTCATAAATCAATGTGATCCTCTCTAGATATAGTTTTAGAAGTAAGTTTTATGCTCAAGGGAAACAGACTGTTAATAAGTATATACAGATAATCCTCAGCTTACAACAGTTTTGTGACTGTTACAAAGGTACAACAGCGCTGAAAAATGTAATTTCTGACCATCTTTCACACCGTTGCAGCACCCCCATGATCGTGTGTTCAAAATTGGGACACTTGGCAACCATGCAACATGATGGTTGCGGTGTCCCGGGGTCACGCGATTCCCTTTTGCGACCTTCTGACAAGCACAGTCAATGGGGAAGCCAGATTCACTTAACAACCATGTTGCTAACTTAGCAACTGCAGTGATTCACTTAACAACCGTGGCAAGAAAAGGTTGTAAAATGGAGTGAAATTGCTTAACAACTGCCTTGCTCAGCAATGGAAATTTTGGGTCGTAAGTCCAGGACTATCTGTACAGGATTATAGCGTAAATCTGACCTGTTACTTACTCTTCTCATCTACCTAAAATCAACTGATATATTTCTGTTTGCAGTGATGATGTTAGGTCTGCTAATATAATTGCAGACGAAAACGATGTGGAGTGCCTCGTTATTGACAGAGAGTAAGTATTCCCTTCCTGCACCGCTGTCTTCTTTCCAGCCGCTTTTCCTATTCACCGATAAGTTACATCAAAGATTTTCTGTGTTCTCTTCACTTCTTTTTCCTTGCCCAAATTTGGAGGAGGTGAACATTAGGGGGAAGGTAGCAAAACAGGCAGACTGATTCTTGAAGAGCAGAATATTTGTAGCTCAGGGTCTTTGGTGCGCTCTGAACTTGGTTGTTTTCTTGCAGACATTTCATTACCAAGCTAGGTAACATCATCAGTGCTAATCCTATGTATAAAGATTTTATTGTTTTTTTTTCATAAACATATGTTAATTTTTCCAATCAACGAGTTGTCTGGAATTAGCTATGCTAATACATGTTCAATTCCTAATCCTTCATTCTTTCCTCTAGCCAACAATAAAATAAGTCCCAAGTTTGATAATAGTCTGTATCTTCTTTATCTTTCAACCTCATAGTTAATCTGTCCATCTCTGCACATTCCAATATTTTCCTGATGATTTCTGCTTCTGATGGCAGTCCTTCATTCTTCCAGTATTGTGCAAAAATTATTCTCGCTGCTGTGGTGATGTGTAAGATTAAATATAATTTCTGCTTATTAGTCTTTTCAGGCATAATACCTAGTAAAAAAAGTTCAGGTTTAAAATCAACTTGTTCACCCAATATTTTTTCTAACCACATATGTTATCTTTCTCCAATAGGCCTTAGCCTTACTACATGTCCACCAAATGTGATAGTACGTGCCTATGTTATGTTTACATTTCCAACATCTATCTGACATATTTTTAAACATTTTTGCTAATCTTGCTGGTGGCAGATGCCATCTATAACACATTTTCATCAGTGCTAGTCCTAGATCAGAGGCGTAGCATGGGGGGTGCAGGGGGGCCGGCCGCACCGGGCACAACATCTGGGGGGGCGCGCTCGCACTCGCAGCTCTCTGCCCCTGCCTGTGCGAATCCGATCCGAGCCGCCGGGTCGCCGCCCACTGTGGAGGGGGGGGCGCAAATTACTTGCCTTGCCCCGGGTGCTGACAACCCATGCTACGCCACTGTCCTAGATTACCTTGTTTGGGTAATGAAACATCTGTAAAAAAACAATGAAACTCAGAAAGCACCAAGGTCCTCTCAATAGATCAGGAATCACCACTCTGCTCTGCATTGTGACATGACGTTGCAAGATCCTGAAGTTATTTGTGTTTACAATACTTGGTTTTGTCCTGAAGCTGCAAAAAGCATGTGGTGTGCAGTGTGCAATTATGTTACCAAGAAGTGGGGAAATTATATAATTAAGCTCATGATTGATCGTGCTATCTCTTCTAACCCCAGAGATGTAACTATGGGGATACTTCATAGGATTTAAACAAAAAAACAAAAAACGTAAGAACATCCAGTTCCCATTTGGATCATCAAAAATTTTAATTACTGCAGAGTGGTATGCTCTGACTCCTTAATTAGTAAATAAACAAAATGGGGGAAATCTCCACAGTAGTGAACATTGAAGTATTTCAAGTAAAGCAAAAAAAGAAAGGCAGTTTGGTGTAGTGGTTAAGGTACCAAGATAAAATCAGGAGACTGTGAATTCTAGCATAAAACCAGCTGTGTGGGTTCCGGTCAGTCAACTTTTTTTTAGGACTAGAAAGAATGCAATGGCAAATCACTTTTGGGAACCTTGCTAAGAAAACTGCTGGAGTCAAACAGACTTGAAGGCACAAAAAGAGGTGCGGGAGAGGAAAAACAGGCCTAGTTATTTTGGGCAACGGTGGCTACAATAGGACTGGAATGGTTCATGTTCACTGCATCGCTGTTCAACTAGATGATTGTCTTTATCATCTCTAACTTTTATATTTTAATTGGTTTTTTTTAATATAGTGACTCCGGCATATAGTGAGACCATGAACAGCAGTTAGCTGCTTTATATATTTATAAAGGCAGGAATTTGTTCCTTCAGATATATGGACTAGACTGACATAACAGGAAATGTATAAATATCTAAGTTATACTCCAGTGAGCCTCCAGCCATATTTAACATTCATTAAATGAAAAACTGTGTGAATTCAAAATAACATTGTTTCAAACAGTATTTTAAAACATTATTTAAGCATTTCAGCAGATGTTACCTCTATTATGAGCTGAATGGTATTTTGGTACTTAATTGGACAGTATGGATTTTTCCATGTTTGCAGTTTCTGTTCTTTGATCTTTGTTAGCATGTATATGGTTTTAAATTTAATGTTTCTGTTGATTGTATATCTTCCTGGGAATCTTGTATTTCAAGTGCAACTGCGAAAAAATATCTAAAATAAGTTTAATGTTGCCCATTTAGTCTTTCTCAGGCGCCTTTGATTTTTTTCAGTCTAGGCAAAGAGAAAATGATGACTTTTATCAGGTTCCTGGTAGGCTGCATTACACAACTGATAGTCTGGGTTCAATTTTTTAGATCCCAAGTTGATTGGGTCTGTAATAGTGTGATAATTGCCTGCCATCTTTCTCACCTTTGAAAGATGCAGTTGGGTTGTTCAGAGAATTAGTTTGTGGCAGCAATGTGCAGTGACTGCTGTAGGTGATTTTCTTTTTAATCATGGCATCAAAAAGGCCAGACCTCTGGATATTTTTTTTATTTATCCATTGCACTATACAGTAGCAGCTGCTGATGCTTCTGTCACACCATGATTGTTGTTATAATTGTGGCTGGGTTCACAAATCATGCTAAGTGTGATTGGCTTTGACTGACTGAACAGCTGTTGGGCCTTAGTCAAGTAAGTATAGTTAAGCAAACCATGACTTGGTAATGCATTAAGCCAGCTTTACCCTCAGTGAGATGTGTTGGACTACCCTTTGCCTTACTGATTGGGAATTCTGGATATTGCAGTCCGCCATATTGGTGGACTATCAAATTGCAGAAGTCCTTAGGTCATTTGTTATAAAAAGGGGACAGGTTGGATACAAAAAGAAAATAGCAATAGCATTTAGACTTATATATCGCCCCATAAAGCTTTATAGCACCCTCTGGGCAGTTTACAACATTGAAGCATTATTTGCATATTGCCCCCCCTCCTGAGAATCTGGGTCCTCATTTTACTGACCTCAGAAGGATAGAAGGCTGAGTCAACCTTGAGCCCCATCAGGATCAAACTCCAGGCTGTAGGAAAGTTTGCCTGCAATGCTGTACTTTAATCACCGCACCATCAGGGCTCTCAAAACGTGGCTAATTAAAACGAAAATAGAGGTTCACACATGTAAAAACAGATGAGAAGGGCTTTCCAGATGTTGGTAGACTGTTTTCCAGCCCCCTTCACTAATTTCCAGGATAGTTAGGACATTTAACATCTGGAAGGCCACAGGTTATATCATCCCTACCTCTGTATTGAACTGGAAAAAAATCTACTAGTAGCTACACTATAGATCAGCCTTCATCAATCCCTATCACCCACAGCCTGACTATCAAATGGCTGGGCTAGCTATATGTCTATGAAGATTCTCAGTCATCCAGGTCGTGATTGTCCCAAAGGTGCTTTTTAAAAGGCAACTTTCAATTCATTCAAATTTAATTTGTATACCGCCCTTCTCCCATAGGACTCAGGGCGGTTCACAGCATATTTAAAAAACAGATATTATACACAAATAAAAAATACAAAAATACAACAATATAAACCCCAATAAAACCGAATTAAAAACCAAATATTGACGGCTGTGTTTCCAATTAAAATTACTTCTAAAATCATCCCTA